GGGATATACTGTAATATTTGTTGACTTCTAATTGGTCAAGAGCTACAAATATAACGAAATACTGCCCAAGCTCAGAATATAGAACCACATAAAGTTTTATTTTCATGGAAGCTGTGTAGGGTATCATATGGTCGGATATATCCTAAAATTTTTCTAATTCACAATATGTGACATTTTTAATATTCTCATTTGGCGCCACCGTCCTTTTAAAAGAACACCAAAAAATAAAAAAAACACTGCTAGAAAGCAACCGTTATTTTAGTGAATTTCTAAAGAAAGAAATAAAACTTGTATATTGTTCTAAATTCTAGCTTAATGCTAAAACTACATTTTATTTAAAAATACTAATTTAATAAAAAAATGTTTAAGTTTTAAAATTTGAGATTTTGAGGAACAAATCTCATGCGTCATCTGGGGTAACCACCACTCGGAAAAGGTTCGATGACGGTCTACCAACGGGCCACCATTGAAAAGGTCTTGAAGTCCTCTTTTCAATATCCTCATAATGGGGAACCGACGTGGAAAATCTCTCAGAATCTTCCGTAAATATTAATGTAGCCCTGGATAATCTCCTTTAGAGTGTGCATCAAATTGACAATTATTTATTCACATTAACTTATAAAAAAAAAAAAAGCTTACAATAAAAACCTTTCTAATTACATTAAAACATAATATACCTATCTTTATTCTCTTTAAAGTGTCTAAAATATGTCCTAAATACCCACTACACGCAAATGCACTAGAAACTACAGAAAATTTAAAAGCATTGTACTTTTTCCATTTTTCGCGGTTTTCAAATTAGATACAATACCAAAAACAGCAACTATGCAATAGAGTCTTCCCCAGGACACATGCTAATAATTTGAATAATTTAATTATCAGCACCAGGTATATATTTTCAATTTTGTGTCTCTTCATAAGAATACAAAATGCAAAGAAAAAAAAACTGTAACCACAAAACTTTTGCGGTAATGAAAATTTACATAGTTTTCACATTTACATTCATGCACACATTCATACATTCTATATAAAATGTTATGTAGTAGTATAAAATTATACCAAGCCATAGCATATTACGGAAGAGAGAGAGAGAGAAAAGGAACACGAACTTAAATAAGGAAATGCAAAAAAAAGGTAAAGATATATTCAAAAGAAAATATATGAAGCATTGAGTTACTCTGAATAGTGTTGTTCAAATATTAAACGTGGTCCATAAGGGTAATTTTTAACTGTTATATGTCTTTCGAATTGTTAAAAAAACTAATGGGGTTTTATAGACGAACATTGCTATTTATTATTTAAAACATAAATTTAACCTAACCAAGGACAATATTTTCAATTCCATATATTGCGTTTAAATTATTATTATTTCAAACCATTTTATATAAAATTTAGCTCTGCTCATCGAAAAGTGTAGTTGTGTCATTGATTGTTATTTTTTCTTGATAATGTCATTATGAATGTATATGAAAATATTTGTTTTTGTGCCAGTATATCTATATACGAGTATCTCGTATATACTCGTATGAGTATATCTATATAAGAGTTTCTCTTTATTATATTAAAGAAACAATATTTATTTCGTTGTATAACCCATATGACAATAAACTTTTGGGTTTTCGATGGAAAAAATGAAGCAGAAACCCCAAAAGAATAATTGATGGGACATTTCAAACGAAAATTTGTTATGTATTCACATCAAAGTAAGACATATTGTTATACCTCTTCGTCTGCATATTCAATAATTGTATTTTCTCTTTTTTTGGCAAGTGGAGCGGCAGGCAGATACCACAGAATATTTTTTTCTTTGGTTATAAAACTAAGCATTCACCGAACAATGTTTTGTGGCCATATATAGACTGGTGGTGGTCACTACATGATTCCTTGTTAAGATTTCCCCATATATGTATGTTGGAGTTTATTTTTTCCAATGCCACATAACTATTTGCACATGACCAGCAATAGATTTTCATTTCATCCATTCATTTTCTTCCGTTACAATGGATATGACTTCTTTTTTTTCTTTTGGAACGGATGTATTTTCAAAAGGAAATTCAATTTTCGTTAACATGTTTTTGTGTGTCTGTCTTTGTATTGGTATTAAATTTTGCCTATGTACATTCTTTAGAGACTTAAATGAGAATAGGAATATTTGGAGGGAGTGATGGCGAAAAGAAAATTGAGTGTGCCAGCCACATTTGATATATCCGTTAGTGGTAAGTCTATAGACAACCAACCGACAGAGAGAGAAAAAACACAGTAAAATCAAATAGAAGTGGGTGATTTGAATTCCACAAAAGCGGACATAATAATGCTGCTGATGATGATGATGTGACCTCAGTTTGTGTCAACGACAACAAAAAGTAAGAGAAACAGTGTCAATAGAATTACAAGATGTTGAACATGTCACTATTGAATGACACAATACAAAAATTCTATAATTGTATAAAGGCAATTTTTCTTTTCTTGTCTTTCTAATCTAGACATATTTTGTGTAGGTGCCACTTCAAATTCAATCAATGGCTATTGTCCTACACTACGATTGAAATATACAGTCTTAAAATTTAGTAAACTTTAAATGACACGAAAAATTGAATTAAATCCTTTGAAGAAATTATAGAATAATGTCAGAAGGTCTTTTTCATAGAAGAGCAGAATGTTTACTCATAGAAGAGTAGAAGATCTACTCATAGAAGGTCTTCTCATAGAAGAGAGGAAGATATACTCATACTCATTTTCTCAACGAAGAACAGTAGGTCTACTCATAGAAGTGCAGAAGTCTTCTCATAGAAGAACAGTAGGTCTCCTGATAGAAGTGCAGAATCTCATATCATAGAAGAGCAGAAGATTTTCTCATAGAAGTGCAGAGGTCTTCTCATAGAAGAGCAGAAGGACTTCTCATAGGAGAGCAGAAGGTCTTCTCTTCTCATAGAAGAGCAGAAGGTATTTTCATAGAAAAGCAGAAGGTCTACTCATAGAGAGAGAGAAAGTATTCTCATAGAAGAGCAGGTGGTCTTTTCCTAGAAGAGCATGTGGTCTTTTCAAGAAGAGCAGCTGGTCTTCTCAAAGAAGAACAAGAGGACTTCTCATAGAAGAGCGGGGGGACTTCTCATAGAACTGCAGAATGTCTTCTCTTAAAAGAGCACAAGGTATTCTGATAGAGGTGCAGAAGGTCTTATCTTAGAAGAGTAGAATGTGATCTCAAAGAAGAACACAGGGTCTTTTCATATAAGAGCAGAAGGTCTTCCCATTATAGGGCAGAAATCCAGGTGGTATATGAATCCAAATTATCTTCTTATGTGCCAGAAGGTATTCTTATAAAAATGTGAAAATCTTCTTATAAATGATCAGAGGTCAGCACACGAGGCCTAATGTATTTTAACACAATAATAAAAATGAGAATTTTTACCATACCAAATATTTTTATAGTTTTCCAAAGAATGATTTAGGCACAGTTTTTTAACCAATTGTCGAATACTTTCCCACACCGTTTAAGACACCTCACGAAAACCAAACGCGTGGCTGCTGAACGACACAACAACATCTTCTGGCGACAAAAAAGAAATATAACACATGAATACCAAGTTTTGGACAGTTACGTTGATGTCTGATCGTGGTGCACAATAATTCGTTTTTGGAATTTTATCGAAGACTTTAGGCAGTCAAACTGTGGGGTATCACTCAGTATTGACCTCTTACGGTGCTCCAGCACGATGTGATCATTCTTGACAAAAGAAAAACCGAAGACTATTTGCTTCAAAGTGTTTCTTCCACGGACACCTTTCGTTGAATTTTGCTCACATACTCTATTGATGTTTTGTTTCGTTATCTTTGACATTTGTTACCTGTGAAAATCTTAGGGACGTCTTCTGAAGCACCGCGAGCCTATTTATTTTCAAAATTTCTTTGTACCAATCGAGCCTTTTGAGCGATTTGAAATTGAACGGGATTCATCGAGAATGAACATTTTAACGGTGGAAGTGAATGGAGAAAATAATATCCAATGATGCCTCAATTCCATTGTGCACTATCACTACACTTACGGCATCAGTGAGCTGAGGCAAAACTTCTTTGTAAAATCTTACAAAAATGTTTTTTAACAATATTTTATTTTCGTCATCCTTAAGGAATAATGATTTTCCTTATGCCTTTCATTTCTATCCTTTCTCCCTTTTAAAAAAATTCCTTTGTTGTCAACCTCCTGGTTCTCACATTTCATTTTGTTCACCAATTAACAAAAGTTCAACATTTACATTACAACACAATACGAACAGCAGACTTTGTTCTTATGGTCATTACACCATTTCCACCATTACACCCTTCGGCTATCCAATGTTAAAACTATCCGGAACCCGAAACAGTAGCAACGGACATTAACCCACAATTATATACGCATAACTTTCTGGAAAAGAATAAAAAAAATTGAATGAATCAACAAAAAAGTACTTCCAAACTATCAACCGTAACTGTCTGGAACAGCAGGCTTTGGCCAGAACTTAAAATGTGGAGAGAAAAAAAGAGAAAACGAATTCATAAAATTTTAACACGTAAAGGACATCGTGTACATCAGAACTGCAAATGAGGTTAAAACTTAAACCAAATGACAACTATCCCATGATGCATGGCTTGGCATTGCTGGATTGGATTTTTTGTTCACTCTTTAAAATGAAAATACAAATTTTGAGAAATTTTCACATGAAATGTATTGATTTAAAAATTTTAAGAAAAATAAATAAAAATATGTTCCGCACAAAAATTTTTAAGTTTTTAATGCATTTTTTATACCTTATTTCTAATATTCTTACAAAAGTATAAATTTAATCAATCATACATTTATTGTAAAAAGTAGAAAAGGTTGCAATATTTCGAAGTCATAAATAATTTAATATTTTCTATTGTAAACCTACGCCGATCCATTTTTTGTGTTGGAATTACTCACTGGGAATAATATACCATAATTTTGTTATTAATTTAAATTATTATTTTTTTTCTACTTGCAGATATCGATTTACACAAATAGCTGTGGATCCGCAAATCAAAACTCCCGGTGGCAAAACCTACGATGTGATATTTGTGGGAACAGGTAAGATTATTATAACTATGCATTACATGGAGCGTATACGCAATATTTCGTATATAAAAATATTAAATCTATCCTCTTCCCATTTTACAGATCATGGTAAAATTATAAAATCTGTAAATGCCGATTCCGCAGACTCGGACAAAAAAGTAACCTCCGTGGTAATAGAAGAAATCGATGTTTTACCCAAAAGTGAACCAATACGTAATCTAAAAATTGTTCGCACAATGCAATATGGTATGTACACACATTTACGTGAGCGTCTACTACTACTACACATGCAAATGACGTGCGATTAAACCAGACATGCAGAGAATGAATTATTCTAACAATTTTGTTTTCTATGTAAATGTACATTTTTTTCTGCAGATCAACCCAAAGATGGCAGCTATGATGATGGTAAATTAATCATTGTCACTGATAGTCAAGTTATTGCCATCCAATTGCATCGTTGTCACAACGATAAAATCACCAGTTGCAGGTAAGTTTTGGTTTTATTGTTGTTGCATATTTTGAACATTTGAAATGGTTTGTGAAAAAACGACAATAAAAAGGTCATGCATTTGTTATTCGCGAAATGTGCAGCCACATTGTTCACTTTTGTTTTTACATATGGACTATGGCGGGAGCCATGGTGGAGGGGTTAGTATGGCTACACATAAAACTGGAAAGCACAAAAATATAGTACAGGCTACAATCGGATCTTCAATCAGTAGGTTTGAGTCAGACCAAATATCTGAAACAAAATTAGTCACATCATATGAAACTATGATACCGAACAGTGATTCATGAAATAGTGGAACACTAGCGCAAATGCCCTTGGCAACTGGTGTTGCACAGATGGCACCCTGGTAGTAATAAAGTCGGGACTCGAAAAAATCTATGACGATTTTGACATGTCCGTCTATCCGTTTATCAGTTGTAATCACTGTAGCCTCTAAACGAATAGAGATATATAGCCAACATTTTTCATAGAGTTGTATTTTGTCTGCAGGCTGATGGGCTCTATCGGTCCACGTTTAGGCATAATTTACATATAAGGGTATCCCCAATTTATTACATGTTGAGGTTTTTGATCCCGTTTTTCAACCTAATTCGCTATAATTTGGAACATTCGGTTCCATTAAAAATTATATCAGGGTACTCCCAATTTTCAGTATTCTGGGGGTTTTACATTTTTCAACCGAATTCGCTTTAAATTAGTACATTAACTTCTTATTGGGTAGCAAATCTCTCTACTAAAAATTATAAATATAGATATATCTCCCATATATATTTTCTTCCGATTTAATGTAAATGGTGCACCAAATGTAAATTTGGCACAGCGTAATGAATTATGTATAAAATGACGTGTGCTAAGTTTCGTGAAAATCGGTCCAGATTTATATATAGCTCCCATATATATTTTCGTCCGATTTAATGTAAATGGTGCACCAAAGACCCTATATATCTTTCGATTTGCACGAAATTTGGCACAGCGTAATGAATTAGGCCTAGAATGATGTGTGTTAAGTTTCGTGAAAATCGGTTCAGATTTAGATATAGCTCCCATATATATTTTCGTCCGATTTAATGTAAATTGCGCACCAAAGGCCCTATATATCTTTCGATTTGAACGAAATTTGGCGCAGCGTAATGAATTAGGTCTAGAATGATGTGTATTAAGTTTCCTGAAATCGTTGAAATCGGTTCAGATTTAGATATAGCTTCTATATCTGACCAAATTAAAAATGTAGTATAGGTTGCAGAATGACATGTTTATGAATCCACTTTAATTTTACTGGTCCTTTAAAAATGCGACGTGTGTTAGGATTCATCTGTCGAATATACCCAAAGTGGTGAAGGGTATCATATAGTCGGCCCCATCCCACTTTACTACTTTCCTTACTGGTTAATATTTAGCGTGAAGGAAGGAAAAATGAAAAAAATGATGCAAAAATGTTAACTTCGAAATTTAGATATATCGGTCCCTGATTAGACGTAGCACCTCACATAATAATAACTCCAAGAGTCCGGTAAAAATTTCTGAAATTTGTATTTGGTTTATAACAATCGCGCCGTACAATTATCGGTATAGCTATACTTTTTTGAATGTTCCCTATATTTTCATTTCAAATAATTATCAGTATACCTATGGTGAAGGGTATTCAATGTTCGGCCTGGCCGAATTTAACGCTTTTTGCACTTGTTTATATGTTAATGGTCTTAGCCGCATTCTACATCGAAGTCGTTGTAAATTAGCATTCCAGATTATCTGAGGGTAAAAATTAATTCAAAAAGGAATTTTCGTATTTGGATGTTAATATTCAATTCAGAATATCCGACTGCCAAAGGAAAATTGCCTCATCGAACAGCAATTTTCAATATATGTTGCAATTTTGAATATATGTCCTTGTGAAAAAGTGTTGATATACCATAGCTCCAATCATTATATCGCCCATTTTTCCTCATAATTTAAGTTATAAAAAATGTTCGACCTTTTCGGTTTTTATTTATTTTCTATGTTACCTAACATTCAATTATATCGTAATTGTTTTTATTAATTCAATATTTCTCTCTTTTTTTATTATTATTTTCTAATAACAGTGAATGCGTAGCTCTGCAAGATCCATACTGTGCCTGGGATAAAATTGCTGGCAAATGTCGTTCCCATGGTGCACCACGATGGCTTGAGGAGAACTATTATTATCAGAATGTCACAACTGGTCAACATGCAGCATGCCCCTCAGGTTGGTATTAAACAACATTTACACTATAAAATCATTGCCAACATACAACAACAGTGGGCGAGCAGAGGCGCGCGGGGGTTAAACATATGTATATATGTGTATACATCAAGGATAAATATGCTTATCGTAAAATGTGTATCATGTACAAACTTGTGTGCACAAATGTTGTTAACATTTGGTTGAATTTGTTAGTTGAATTGCTGAAGTAGTAGTTGTTGTTGTTGTTTGCAAATATCATTACATATATCTATCAATGGCGCATATGTTGCAGACGAACAGTATGGCTATTCAACAAAAACCTTTACTGCTGCAGGCTACCAGGGGTTTTTTTTGTTTTTGCAAGGATTCCTTGCCATATACATCATTCAGATGCTACTTTCCAGTATTGCCAGCCAGCATTCACTGCTGTCGCCATCATCATCATCATCGTCACCAACACCAGTAGTAGCATCAACAGCATGCTTTCCAAACAAAAAGAGAAAAATTGTATTGTAAATTGCTATCTTTGCTGTGTTGTTATTGTTTTTTGCTCCTACTCACATACACTCACACACACGGACATTAATTTGTGAGAAAGATCTGCGTCTATGGATAGATGTGTGTGTGCGTCTTTACTTGTGATGTTGCATTTTGGTTACATTGTTGTAATAAAAATTTCATGTGTAATTGGAGATTTGGATTATTGCCAAAAGTGAAAATTGCAATTTGTTTTGGTAGTGTTGTTGCTGGTGTATCGGTTTGGGACCACTACTTCACATGAGCTGTACCATTGCAGATATACTGCATTCGATACTCTTTCTCACTCTCTCCGCAGCAGCAATGTTTTATATGTTGTTGATTTTTTGTATTCGCTCAGCTCTTCTTTTTCCACGGCTCTCGTTTTTATTTTTTCCTTGTCCTTTAACGAGATTTGTACACCATATGTATTATTAATGTAATTCAATTTTTGGCTATCGCCCGCCTTGTATTATCATACCGATGCGAAAAAAATAAATGGCCATGGGGGTCGCAGGCCACCCAAATGTCTCTTAAAAGCCGACACAGGGTTTAAGTTGAAAAGTTCAAGATAAAAATCTCTCCTTTTTTCTGCTGCTGTTGTTGTTATACTAAAACGTTTCGTTGGTCTGCCGCCTGCAAAGATGACAGAAACAAAAAAATAAAACAAAGAAGGTAGATGAATGAGTTTTGCAACATATGGTTGCAGAAAAATATTACACACTTGGTTGCATCTTTTGAGAAATTGAGGTAATTTAAAAGATTATCTTTTGCAAAGTCTAAGAGCAGGGATATAAATGGATGTCAACATTGGAAATGTGTGTTTGTGATAAGAGATATTAGCCTTAATATGTGAATGCCATTTGTGTGGACATTAAGTCGGAAAGATATTAAAAAAAAAATATTATACATTCCAAAGTGTTTAAAATTTGTTTCATTTTACCATATTTGTGTTTATAGAGGATAAAATCAGAATTGTAAATTCCTTGGAAGAAAAATAGTTCCTATAAAGGCAAATATCCTGAGATATGGTTAATTAAAGACTAAATTATAATCTCTTAAAGTCCATATCAATAACAACTAAGAAACAAATATACTTCTACAAATGAATTTACAATACACACGTGCTAAGTCAATATGTCCCATCCCTATAGGGTTTTGTTAAAATTGAAGCCTAAGACTTTATAGTAATTCATAGTTTACTAAATTCCGACAAAAATACATCCAACACAACACCTGCAACAACAATTTAACAACACTGGATTTTTTTTAAAAATATTTTATTTTCAAAAACAAATGTTTATTCCTTTTCTTGAAAAAAAAAATATTTCTTCCCATGAAGAAAATATAGATAATTATTATTGACATACCTAATCAATACAAATTTTTGTTTTTATAAATGTTTCTAGGTAAAATAAATTCAAAAGATGCCAATGTCGGTGAACAAAAAGGCTATCGAGATGATATGGGCCTATTGGATCAACGCCGCCAAAGCAAGGATCATGAAGTCATCAATTTGCAGGACAAAAATTTTGAGGGTATGTTTTTCTTCTAACAAAAATGATTTATTTTGAATGTTTTTCTTTAATTGTGCTTTAAATGTTGTTAAAATATATATTTTCATTATAATATATATATCGTATAATATATTATATTTTTGTTTAAATGTTGAGAGCATTGTTTTTATGTTTCTTGCATGCATTTTTGTTATATATTGATATTTGTTTTACATTATCATTTAATGTGTAATATTTAATTTTTATATTCAAGGATTTTTTGATCAGATTTCTTTAATTTAATAGAACCTACTAGGACCTGAAAAATTATTTGCATATTAGTTTTTTATTCTATGAAATTAAAGAGAAAATGGGCGTTTTCCTCAGATTTTTTATTTGAAAAGTACTAGGACCCAAAAATCTTTTGCATATACTTTTTTATGAAATTAAATGGTGAAATGGTGATTATCCGGTAGACTCCCTTGTATTCTTTTAGAAGGTTTGATCAATACAATATGACATTGTGGACAAAGGGAATATTGTATGGCTTTTCCTCCTATTATTTAATGTAATTTAATGGTGTTTATCCGGTGGACACCCCTGTATCTTGTATTGAAATCATTTATTTAGACCAGTGGTGAGCAGAAAGTTATGTTAGTTATTACAGACGGTGTGTAAATATCCATTTATTGTACCTGAGAGTAAACTGTACGAAGGCTGAATTTCAAAAGCGTGCATCGGGCAGCAGTTGTTTGCATCTATATCCAGACACTTAGATCGTACAAAAAATGTTCATAGACTCTAGAATGCGGTGTACCGTCATTAGGATGTTTGATATTTAATTCGATATATATTGTTCAAAATGCTTTGAACAGAAATTTAATTTGTCTGCTCTTTTTGCTAGTCGTAAGTATGTTCAAAATACTTTGAACAGAATTTTATGTTACAGAAGATTTGATCGTTGGTGTGTTTTGAGATAATAGTCTAAAATACCACATGCAACGCTGATATGAATGTTGTTGTTGGTGTTGAAAATATTGGAAAACTCTCCACAGATCAAATTCTATTATTAGAACAAATAAGCAAGCAAGAGTTGTTTAAGTAGAACCTAAAGATAACTATGTTACAATAAAATTAGTGCATTACAACCACTCAACAAGAACGGTCGAGAGCACTATGTCTTAATATTTTTGTACTGTCTGTATAGTTTAATATTTTGGTCCTTCGAGCCGGATTGTCTTTGGATTTTACATAATTCCATTGAACCTCCGGCAACAACTTCCTTATACCATTAACCTTTGTTCTAATAAATTTATCTTTGCTGTTGTTGTTTTCAATCCACGCCAGGGTTATGGTCGAGTCACTCCAAGCATAAACGCTCTTCTCATTTTTCACCACATCCATGATTTTCCTCAGCAAGAGAGCTAGAAGGTGAGCTGCACAGAGTTCTAGCTTTGGAAGAGTCTTCCTATTTTTATGGGATTAACTTTACTTTTGGCTGGCACCAATTTCACTCCACCAGAAGTCTCTACGTAAACCACAACCTTCTCAGATCCATAGTTTGCATCCATCTGGGAATTTTTAGACCTTGCAGCACCGTCACATTTTCTACTATCTGCAACCAACTTTTTCTAACTCCTCGTCCAGCTTCTCATCCCATGACATTTTCATCAGCCATAGAATAATTTCGCTGTAATTACCACGAATACGATAAAGCTGTCCTTTTCGTGAATGTCGTATTCTTTGGCTCCGATATTTTGAAATTAAACGTATCCTCCGTTGGTCGCCATTGTTTTGACTTTCTCGTTTTCCTGCAAGTTTATTACTTCATTTTTTGCCGTTCTGTCATTTGCTGCTACTATTTCTCCACTGTTAGAACACCATTTCCTCAAATGGAATCCATATTTTAACAGGTGTTGTGATGTAGGTAATATTTTCCTTTTCCGTTTCACTTTACCTCCTTCATGTGCCCCAGCGCCTTGTATTCGTCCATGATCTCCGAGTACTACTTCTTCAACGCCTGGTTCTTGTTCAAACTCTTTTCCATACTTATAAACCGCGACATTGCATTTTTATATGAATCGCCTAAAACCTTTTCATCTTTCAAGGGAAGCTGCACAACAAACCTGTCATCTTCATTTTTCTTTGTAGTCGCTGCATACATATCCAAACACTTTTCATCCTCATTGGAAGCATCCTCTGCGTCGATGTCTTCAATTTCCCAAAGTCTTTCCATTTCCATCGTCATATTCACCGATCGTTTTTGTTGAGGAATCCGGCTCGAAGGACCAAAATGTACGAAGAATGGAGACGCGTTGATGTTGAATGAATGTTTCTTGAACACTGATTTTATTTTAATTTTCTTTTACTTAAGTGTAGCGATGCCTAATAATTCTTAGCCTATTTATTCTTCACAATATTCTTATCATCTAACTCTTTCATTTTCACACAACGCCGTGAACGTTGGAGTTTCCCACAATGTGTGTCATACTTATCACAACCATGATCCTAAGGGACATCGGCTAATACAACTACCCCCAACATTGGGTCGTAAAATTCCTAAATTGTGCGATCATATCACACACAGTACTTGAAACGGCAACAAAATGCGAGTCATCATTTACTTAGCCACAAATAGTGACAAAAATACATACATAAGAAATAGTACTTAAGACTAGTGGAAAAAACATAGTGGAAAAATAGTTCTCATATAACGGCAATGGTGATATGTTCCAATCCACTTAGTGTTCCAAAAATATAAATAGAAACCCTCGTAACAGGAGATAATGTCGCAAAAGATTTATATTTTTTCGAAAGCCTGACAAGAGTCAACAATATTTTCCTGTCCATTAGGAAATACTATTTTCCGGTGAATTGTTTTCCATGGCTTCGAGCTTTCATTTTTATACCCTTCACCACACTGTGGTACAGGATATTATGTATTTTTTATTTAATAGAAAAAAAAAAAATAGCATTAGATAATTTTAGTTTTATATATAAATCAACAATCCATCATAATAATTTTTTATCTATTTCGTTACATTAATTTATTACAATTATTGCAAGTTCTTGTTGTTGTATTATTTATATTAAACCTTTTTTTCATTTTAGAAAATTTCCAATCAAATATAAAATTTTAATCACGTTGTATTTTTTTAATGTTTCTCTTTGTTCTTTTTTCGTCTTTTTTTACATGTTGTTGTATAATGTTATAAATGTTATCAAACGAACAAAAACCAAAATCCAACAACAACAAAATCAATCAAATTCTATTATATCTGTGTCCTGTATGCATCCTTTCGAACACACACATATATATAATCGCATATTCCATACACAATATCCACACATATCTATATATTACCTACCTACCTATCTACCACATATTCATATGGACAACAATTTAATTTGATTGGATTTCCTTTTATGTGTGTCTGTGTGTTATTGGGTTCTTCGATGTTTGATGTTTAATTGATGTTATTGCTGTTGCTGTCTCAACACCACCCTCAAATATGGGTGGACGGTTTTGTGGCACAAAATAAAACAAATCAACACAAAAATAAAAAAACCAAACACATATTACCTCTATCTCACACGAATTGATTGGCCAATATTCCCATCATATAAATACACAACCAATATACACCACATATACCAACATTCACATCAATGACACGAACTAACCTGCCCGTAATGTGAAACTAATCAAAAAAGGTCCGCACATTTCTCCAGATATCATAAATGCCCAGTACACGGTGGAAACATTGGTGATGGCGGTTTTAGCGGGCTCCATATTCTCGCTGTTGGTAGGCTTCTTTACAGGCTATTTCTGTGGCCGTCGCTGTCACAAGGATGAAGATGATAATCTGCCATACCCTGATACGGAATATGAATACTTTGAACAAAGGCAAAATGTTAATAGGTAAGAATGTGTATCTCCAACTGATTGAATATTTAATTAACTTTTCAAATTCTTATTTTGTCGCTTTAGTAGAATACAAGCAGAACCCAAGCTATTACCTCAAGTTGAAGAGGTAACCTATGCCGAACCGGTTTTATTGCCACAGCCACCACCAAAAATGCATTCGCCTAAGAGTACTTTACGTAAACCCATGCCACCTCATCATGGACCCAACTCAGAAACGTTCTTCCAATTCCAGCCAGATGGTTATAATACCCAACAATCATATCGTTGTCGTGATAATTTTGGTACTTTAAGATCTCATCAAGTTATGGTAAGATAATACAATAACGGTTTAACAATTATGCTAATCTATGTTTATTTTCTTAATTAGGGTGATAACTATCGTCGTGGTGATGGCTTTTCCACCACTCGCAGTGTCAAGAAGGTGAGTTCAATTCAATAGATATTACAAGAATTATCTACATTGTCATTATAATATCACTATATCTGTGTGTGGTTTTTTATTTATTTTTTATTATATATTTTAAAATAAGAAAAAGTATAATTTTTTATTTTCTTCATAAATATTTTTTTATTTAAAAATTATATATTTTTTGAAGCCTGATCTTTGTCGTCGATTGGTGTATTATTTTTTAACATTAATCATATGTGAACTTGTAGCTAAAACTATTTGATGTCATATTCACGTATAATTGTTGTAACAAATAACTGAATAACGTCTAGAATATATATAAATGTTCAATGTGTAGCATTTGAATTTATTTCGCATGAAATCTAACATTTTTTCCCATTAAGAATACTTTTGAAATATGAAGGATTAACACAAAAAATAACTTAATTACTTTTTCATTAACAAAGCTATCTTCTTTTTTTTCTATAACCGATATTGTTTTGTTGTGCTGTCTGTCTGTCTATCTTTCTCTCTTTTTACGGTCAAGCTGAGAATTGTAGTGTATTTATTTACTAATCTAATAATATACAAAATTGATGGCACACTGTTCGTCATCTGAAATATTTTTAACATTACAAACTATTTTTCGTTATTGCAATCGTATTTATGAAACTATAAAAACCATATTAAAAAAAATTGAGCTGTATATAAATTCTCTGCAATTTAACGATTATTTCATGTGGTTATATCGACGGTGCAAGGACATAATTAAACCACCTCAATGAGGACATCTATTATCCCCATTACCTGGACCAATTTTCTCACCATTAATCATGTATAACCAAGGATTTATAATTTTAAAGTCGACTTTTGCGTTCGACTGGGTATACCTACATTAGATGTTGTCTTAGTATCATATCAATAAAATTATTAGACTTCATATACTTTTTATTCAAACTTATTTTCAAAATATAATATAATTTTCAAAATATAATACGCAAATTTTAAAAAAAGTTATAAAACAATTAACCTTATTTCTTATGTCGATTAAAAGGTCATCGATTCCAAAACTGGGAATTGAATATAAAACATACAAATTGTTGTTTCTAAAAACAGTCTTTTTCCCAATTTAAAAATAATAGTGTTCTCCGTCGACATATCTAACATATCTTTTTATGAAAATGTTTAATTTTTCAAACCATGAATGGTTTGAAACACATTTGGCACCACTGGCCAATAATGAGACGCATTTAAGTTATTTGGACTAGTTTTTCAAACATTGTAGTTTATTTGATTGTTATATCTTCCGATCATACCTTTCCGATCATACATTGTCCTAATTAAGTACTTTTATATAGATCCACTTTATAAATTAAAATAATAATCAAAGGTTTTAAAATGAATTATACCGATTTCAAATCTTTACAATTTTCTACCGGCGGGCAAATGAATGTGCATTATATTAAAGACTTTTAACCTTGCAATTATACATTTAAAGAAAGTTTATTCAGATGCTTTTATTGTTGTTTTTGTTTTTTAGTTTTAATTAAATCTCGCCAAAGAATCTCGCCAAAGAATCTCGCCAAAGAAAATCAGAATCTCGCCAAAGAAAAAACTATATTCGAATCTCTCCGAGGAAATATTCTGCCCTTTATTTGATATCGTTTATAACGGTTTCTTGTCCGTCTTTATAACGATTTCTACTGTAGAATTTTTAACTTCGCACAAAAATTAACTAAATGGCGGACCTATCAAATTCGATTTTTGGAAAAGCCACTATTTTGGACCGCAAACCGAGTTAGAAAATATAGATGAGATCTTAAACGATTACATTTATCCTAATTCACACGATAGCTTTATACGTTCTGTTTAAGCTGCTTTCTTGTCGTCGCTTGATGCTGGCACAATAATTTAGCTATATCTTTAAGAAGAGTTAATATTTTCACATGACATTTTAAAGTGACTGTCGAATTTAGTGTAGTGAATTAAAAGTAAAATCTGAACAATCAATTTGAGAGGCAATCCCCAAACAAAGCTATCTGTGACCTATTTCTTAAACATGATATCCATTTAAAAATATTTATACAGGGGTCAATATGAATTAATTTATTTAGCCCAGCAAAGGCATTGCTTAAAATCTGCTTAAAACAATTTTGGAATACCACTTCATTTTGCAATTGCTCTATATTTAAGAAATAAAATTAGACACAGAGATGGTCCGTCAGAAACAGTGACGTAAATGATATACATTTCCGAAGTTTATAACAAAGCTTATATTTCCATTAATGAATATCGAAATTACAAATGCTTTAATGAAATTCATTTCAAATTTAAAAATTTAATTCTCAAAATGGTTTGGAATTTTGTCTCAGGACAATAAGAAGGGTATAATCAGAAATATGTAAAAATATTATATATTCATGAAAATAACTGTATCTGGCGTGATGACGTGAGATGACGTTTACTGCATTTATTACATTTTGTACAGGAATATGGTCTTTGCGACGTTTACAACATTTTGACAGTCGAAACATTAAAAATTCCTTAAACGACCCTCCCTGTTAGACACGTAATCATGGTTTGTACATAGAACCATGTTTCCATGGCACATTTTCCCCGATTATGTTTGATCATACTTCTAATTTTCCTAGAATTAGTTAAAACCGGAGAGGATTTGTTATTAACATGTCAAGTTAATTAAAAATTAGACATGTTGTATTCATCTTAAAACAATGTAATTTGGATTTATACATAATATATAATATAGAACTAAATCTCTCCAATATATTTAAATAGTGTGCTAAATTAAATAGCAGAAATATAAGTGTTTATAAAAACACATATAATAATTTTATATTAATTTTAGTCTGGCAGTTGTTAGTCACTTTTTTTAATTGAGACGAATTAAACCTTTTTTGTTATTTTAAAATTGGAAAACTAACTAGTTTTTTTAATTGTGATCACATTGAAATGCAGGGAAGATTATAGTTATGAATTTCACAGTTTTTTACTTTTGCTTTTAGGATATTCTCTCGGTGAGTCATTTATGATTCCACTTAATTTTTTACCTCCATAATCAGTTTCACATGAAATTTTATAACAAAGAACAGGGCTGTCTTCTTTAAATTAAAGAGTTTGTAAAATGTTAAAACAGAAGGTAGATTTTCGATAACTCTGGTTCCAAATATTTATTTGAGAAATCGAAGCCAAAAGTTAAAAACTCCGTTTTTTAATGGAGTTTACTGGTTATGTTCAAGGGTGCCCCACTTGTGGTATTTTACGGAAATTTATAATAACTTTTTTGTAGGAAATATATATGAAAGAAAATACATTAGTTATGTTTTAAATGATTGTTGGAATGCAAAAAAATTGTTTAACAAAAGAAAACTATCACTAAATTCTTCCTGCGTCCTTACAACCAAAAATTAAAAGTTTACAATTGCAGTGCGAAAACATAGTCACTCATGTAAATTTTGTCGATAATTGAAAAAGCTAGCCAAAATGGTTTACGCAGATAAAGAACAAGAATGGTATATAAAAGAATTTGGTTGCGGGTCGGAAAAATTCTAAACCGAGATTTTAAGAGCGCTGTCAAAGGTGCCCCCCTCTCCCCTACTTAAAACCACTATACCGATGATCTAGCAAATTTTACTTGAAATATCCTTTATTCTAATGGAATCCTTTATTATTCTATTCAGCAAAAAACAACTTCTACCAAAATTTAGCTATTTCAAAAAAAAAACCAAGATCAGGTACTCCCATTTTACGGTTGGAGTTGTCGTAGTGTTTTTTTTTTTTTTTTTGTAATACTCTAAGAATTTTTTTCTTTAATTGTACTTAAATACGTGAAGTAATGGCAAATATTTCAAAGACCATAAATACATACATAATGACTATAAGAGCAGTCCATAATGTGGACATTGTATAATTAGTTATATGATGCATTCTGCACAATTTGCCATTAAAAATTAATTTCCTGATAATGTGAATTCTTATGAATAATATATAAATAATATAATAAGAATATTTAACAAGAGGTTAATCGTATTGTAGCGACATTCATAATACCGATTTGTTATAAAAATGCGATAGTACACTACTTTCCATATGACAACAGTAATAAGTGTAAATATTCATGAATAATGATTCGATAACAGTTTGGGCGAATATGTAAGCAATTGTCGTTATTCCACTGATCATATATTGTTATATATAACATTTCCAATATAGTATTTTTTAAGTTATCTGTGAATTTTAACTTGAATTTTATTATTCTTCGTGAAGTTCGTGAAAATATTGCAAAGGCAATTGTTTGATATTTAATGCATTGCAATCAATTCTGTATAAAAAATAATTTTATTTTATTACAATTAGAATTTCCAATAAATCTGATGTTATTGACAATTTTCTCGTACACAACGCAATAATAAATAAGGCACCACTTTCACATATGCATATCTTTTGATTTTAAGATAATGAAACCAAAATATAATTCTTCACTAACACAACAAATTCAAAAATTTTCTGTATAAAGTCTATTACCACTCTCTCTCATAATTCTTTACCAAAAATATAATAAGTACTAAAATATAATTGTATAAAAATATAACTTCAAGTTGGTTTAATTGCGAGATACTTCGACTCCCAGTGTGAAATTTATCTATGTGAATATTGTACATATAAATGTTGTATTGGGCTGGAAATGAGATTTTCAATATCAATGGTTTAGCAAATGCTGCAATAATAGACGTGTATCCAAAACTTATGTAAATAAATATTTCTGCTATCCAAATTTGTCCATGTATTAAAAAAAGCTTACTAATAACACGAAGTAACGAAAAAAATACACCAATCGATTTCACAAAATTGTCAGTGAATTCTTTTCATTTTAAAGCCTTTTTGTCAAAATTGTTACTTTTTTATTTCGTTCTTTAATTATTTGTGTTACACACAATAGAAATACGAAGCAGAAGAGCAACAACAACAACTCTATACTATCTTTCTACTTTTTTCTTACCTGTTTTCCTTTCTCTTCCCCATTAGGTTTACCTTTGAGACGGGAGTGGGGCGGCTGAAACCAGTCAGGGATTAATTACCCAAAATATGGTAAATAAAAGTTGTTTTTGTTTCTGGCTTCCAAGTTGTTTTATTTTATTTATTATAATTATTAAACAATTAATTTAATTTATTCGATAACTACAAAAAAATAAGGAAAGAAAATGCAAAAGAGTTTGTTTGAAAATGTTTCCTTTGTTTTCAATTTGTTTGCTCAGCGAATTTTGCTTTGGGTTATACAAATATTTTTCAATCTCCATTTTTCATTTTGTAAATAATAATAATATCGGCTTTAAACTCAAAACCTATTGTTCAGCATTTTTTTTGCACACTCATAGCTAAATTTATTTCTATAGTTAACAACATACAATTTCTATGCGTTCCATTTTATATTCCTCTTTTCTTCATCTGGCTAAAGTTCTTTGGCTTTTATGATATAAAACGAAACGGCGATAATGGTAACTTTTATTTTTTACCGCTTAGCCAAAATAATGGGTGTATGAATCCGCTATCAATACCGTTACACACAAGAAAAAACTAAAAAATGAAAACAATCAGCCATCCCGCATCCCCTATACTCTACATATTCTTATTTATTTTACTATCTCCTTTAGCCTAAACTAAGAAATTAAAATGATTTTAATTCTTGTATGAGACATGTGTTAAAAATATGATCTGTTTAGAGCCTATTTTAGAGATTGTAAGGTTTTGGCTGAAATATATTTCATTACATATTTCTATAATTCTGAGAAACTCTCCTACCTATGCATGTACATATGTATATGACTAGCATAATTAGTCAATAGTAATTACTTTACTTTAAAATGTTTTAACAATTTTTTGCAGCACTTAATCAACTCGTATACATAGTTTAAAAAACATATTTTAGATGCACATACAATATTCGCTCTAAAATGTTATATTTTTTTAATAACTGAGTTGACTTTTTCTAATGAATAACATTATTTTATTATTCAGCCATAACCACAAAAACTAAATTAAAAAAATTATAAATTCTTAGGGTTTTTATTTCAAAAGAAAATCTTCTTTTACTTATAGATAAATATATTTATGTAGTTTCTTACTTTCCGAGTTATTAGCCATTTTGTTTGTTCGTGTGTATTTAATTTAAATTGTTAACAAATTTATAAAATTTATATTAATTTTTTAAGTAAAAAATTGCATTCTTTGGAATGCCTTGAATTAATGTATTAAGGCTTTTGCAACATTATTGCAAAAAAATCCAAAAATTTGAAATTTGAAAATTTGATTTGATTTAAAATGTAAAATTCAATAACTTTTTTGGCTAAAGCCATTTTTATTGAAAATATCATTAAATTCTTTGAAGAAGACAAAATGAACTGCCAGACAAATATCTAGGTATTGAGACGAAATGGCAAGATGTCAAAATGACAAGATTAATAAGATTGATTTTTTTTATGACACAGACATTTCGCAGCTTGGTGACTGGTGACATCTTCAAAGAGGACGCAAATTGTAACGAAACTGTCCGCTTTGAGGTATCGTGAAATGACTTCTAACTTATTTGCCCGAAATGCAAGATGTTCAAAATTTTGAAAAATGAACAGAAATTTAATTTGTCATCCCTTCTTGCCCTTTGAACAGAATTTTATGTTGCAGAAGATTTGATCGTTGGAGGGTTTTAAGATAAGAGTCGGAAATATTTCTTATGCAGTGTCTAAATTATGTTTATACCCTTCACCACACTGTGGTACAGGGTATTATGTCTTTGTACATATGTTTGCAACAGGCAAAAGGAATCGAGATAGACCCAAGGTTCCTTTTGAGAATATGCATAGAATCACTTTCTGAGTCGATTTATGCATGTCCGTCTGTCTGTCCATGTTAAATTGTAAACAAAATACAGGTCGCATTTATAATCCGAATTGGATGAAATTTGGCAAAGGTCACTTATTTGGCCCAAGGACGAACCCTATTTAAATTGGGAAAAATCGGTTCAGATTTAGATATAGCTCTCATATATATTTTCGTCCGATTTAATGTAAATGGTGTACCAAAGTCCCTATATATCTTTCGATTTGCATGAAATTTGGCACAATGTACTGAATTGAGCCTAGAATGATGTCTGCCAAGTTTCCTGAAAATCGGTCCAGATTTAGATATAGCTCCCATGTATATTTTCGTCCGATTTAATGTAAATGGTGTACCAAAGTCACTATATATATTTCGATGTACACAATATTGGGCATGGCATGCTGAATTACGTCAAAAATTATGTTTTCTAAGTTGGAAATCGGTTCAGATTTTGATATAGGTCCTATGTATTCTTTATTCCGATTTTATGTATATTGTGCACTAAAGACCCAAGGTTTGTCCGATTGCCACACAATTCTGTACAATGAACTGCAGTTAATATAAATTAATCTCTGGCAAGTCTCGTTGAAATCGGTTCAGGTTTAGATATAGTTTCACAAACTCCTCAGTTTTATCGGATATTTATACAAATAATCAACGGGTGTTCGATTGATATTTCCTTTAAATTAATTTACATAATTTTGTCCAATTGTATGCAGCAACTCTCTTGTGTAGGTTGCAGAATGACATGTTTATGGATCCCACTTCATTTCACTGGTCCTTCAATAATGCGACGTCCATAAGGATTCATCTGTTGAATATACCCAAAGTGGTGAAGGGTATCATATAGTCGGCCCCGTCCGACTTTACTATCTTCCTTAGTTTTTTTCATATCATGTCTCATGTGTATACAGACAAGACTGCATCAGTTGACACTTTGTAAAATATCTTGGAAAGAGTATGCCAAAAGTGGACATTTGTATCAGCATTTGCATTAAATAATCGTCAAATATTAAATTATATGGACCGTACTATCGATTCAAATAAGTTGCATTAATGAAACTAGAATTGTAGTAGCTGCTTTTTCATGTCAGGCGTAGGCCAGTAATATGTTGAGACGGCAATGCCTTCGGTCCTAACATAATCGCGTCACTTTAGCCTGCTTTCACCGAGACTTCTGCAGTAAATGAGATTGCATACAGTATCTCTTCTATAAGAACTACAAAAACTTTAGTTAGTAGAAAGTCGTCATAAATAGGTACATCTAAGCTTGAATAAAAAATTTTATAAAAGGTCGCCAATGGTGCAGTACATCTTCCAGAGCTCCAGCTCTTAAAAGTCGCCAGTAATAGAACCGTCAGTAGATAAAAAGTTTCCTGGAGGCTTAGATTTTCATTCAGCTCTTGTGTTTTTTCCCAATTTAAATTTTATTTGAAATTGGTATGAATAAATTGAAAATTCGTATTAATAAATTGAATCATTGAATATCCATACATTAGTCTAAAATTTAGCAGACATATTTCATGCACTATTTAAAATAATACAAAGAACATTTTTTCCAAATCTATTCTCAAACCTCTCCTTAGTTCTTTGTTTATAAATGAATGTTTTATTAGAGGGAAAATATGGCATTATTCTACAAGAGTTAAAGAAGATTCGTTAGATACATAAGTACTTTGATTTACATTTTTTTTTTTTTTGTAAAGAAGTTATTATAAATTGCTTGTGGGCGAAACCCCTAATAAGATCCGAAATATTCTTCCCTGTCTCACCTTTTGGTGAACAATGTCATATTTTGCTTTATAAAAAAACAAATTGGGATTACGCCTGACCATCATCACTTATTAAAAATTGCCGTATAAAATTGATGAAGATTTAGAGTGCCAAATGAGATTGCTTCCGAAAAGGGCACCGAATTTCTACAATGTTAGCATGATCAAATCAAGTCACTGTTGAAAAGAAATAAATTCTTTTATTGATATAGAAATTTGTTAACTTTAAAAGCCAACTTCGCATGTTGCTGTTAATCTCTAACTCACACCTTAACTATAACAAAATAATCCATTGTGCAATATAATTAATGCTGACGAACAGTGGTTTTAATATACACCTTTTTAAGATATTTTTTACAACTCAGCATGTATTACAAAAAAAATATATCTAGATTTTTTTGGCAATACAAAATTCATTAGTTTAGGTTCATTGGAGACACACGATCATTTGTCATCATACAAATCATTTGCATTTTCATTATTAACTAACCAAAATAAAATATTGAGGAAAACACAATAACTTTGTAATCAATTTACAATATTTATTTATTTTTATTACCGTAAACTATATTTGTTTATTTTTGTTTTCTTTCATTTAATTTTTTCTTTTACAAAATGTACCCAACAACAACTACAACAATTGCAAAACAACAATTAAATAAAAAATAAATTCCAAAATATCAATCAAAATCACTTTAAAATTCAGGCTGTTAACACAAATACACGTAATCGAAGTCTTGGTCGTATGAGAAGGCAGCCGCCCCGTCATGGTATTGGTAAGTTTTTGTTGTTTTTTCTTACATTTCATATCAAATTTAACTCTCTTTCTTGTTTACATACACACACACAAATATCAAATATTTGTTATATATTCCTTTCACTATTTATACATTGTTTCGCAATATGAGTGTGTATTTTTATTTAATTTTATTATTGCCTTTCATGTCTTCAATGTTGTAATTATTCCTTCACAAAAAAACACCTTAATTTTCATATTTTAATTGCACATTTTGTTCTAAATATATTTGTTTTTTTTTTCATTAATTGTTTAAATTAATTTGTATTTTTAAAAATTAAAATGTATTCAAATATTCAATATTCGTATGTATTTGGTGCATGTTGCAACATGTAAATGTTATCGATGTTTAAGTGTGGCAATATCTCAAAAAACAGCTATAAAAATATTTGCATTTATTTTTATATCTGCTTAGTTGCAACATGCATTATAATTATAAGAAAAATAAATTGTTTATAAAACAAAAGAAATGTCCCTAATTAACCAGAAGGTTCTTAAGAAAGATTTAAATTTTGTCCCTATAACTTCTTTGAAATATTTTGGGCCAAATAATCAAATAAAACGATAACGTTGAAGCTAAGCAAATATCTCATTGGTATTATTTGTTGTTTGTTTACGCCTGCACTTCAAAACATTTATTGGCAATCCTTATATATTTTATTTAATTTATTTATTATTTGGTCCTTAATATTGCTATATGTGTCACAAAAACTCCTATTCACTATTTCCTCAATCAACAAACACCTTGCTTTCGATCACAAAATTTTTCTCGCAGTGTTAGTGCCCACATGTTTCGACCACTACAACCATTTTAGAAAAAAATATTCTCACGAAACAACTACATGAAAGACTATTAATCATAGCAAATAAAATACAGAACCTCCATAGTATTCAAATCAATAATAAAATTCTTAAGTTAAATCAAATCCTAGAACATTTCAGTACCCTACACCGGCAAATTTTTCAAGACATACAACCATAAATTTAAAAGTCGACAAATTCCATTAGAAGACATATTATGTTTCGATATATTTTTTTAATGGAATTGGTGGACAATAGCCGACCAACTTTAGTATTTTTAAATTAACCCACAAGCCTATAATATATATATATATATATATATATACCCTTCACCCACCACACTGTGGTACAGGGTATTATGTCTTTGTGGATATGTTTGTAACAGGCAAAAGGAAACGAGATAGACACATGGTTCCTTTTGAAAATATGCATAGAATCATTTTTTAATTAGATTTATGCATGTCCGTCCGTCTGTATGTCTGTCCATGTTTAATTGTAAACAAAGTACATGTCGCATTTATGATCCGAATTGGATGAAATTTGGCATAGGTCACTTATTTGGCCCAAGGACGAACCCTATTGAAATTGGGAAAAATCGGTTCTGATTTAGAAATAGTTCCCATATATATGTTCGTCCGATTTTATGTAAATGGTGTACCAAAGTCCCTATTAATCATTCGATTTGCACGAAATTTGGCACAGCGTACTGAATTAGGTCTAGAATGGTGTATGTTAAGTTTCCTGAAAATCGGTCCAGATTTAGATATAGCTTCCATATTTATTTTCGTCCGATTTAATGTAAATGGTGTACCAAAGTCCCTATATATCTTTCGATTTCCACGAAATTTGATGGTCTACCAAAGTCTATAGCGTACTGAATTGAGTCTAGAATGGTGTGCATTAAGTTTCGTGAAAATCGGTTCAGATTTAGATATAGCTTCCATATATAGTTTCGCCCGATTTTATGTAAATGGTGCACCAAAGTCCATGCTAATCTTTTGATTGGCACGAATTTTGTTAGAACGTACTAAATTAAGTCTAGAAAGATGTGTGCTAAATTTCGTGAAAATCGGTTCAGATTTAGATATAGCTTCCATACATAGTTTCGTCCGATTTTTAGTAAATGGTGCGCCAAAGACTCTGAATATCATTCGATTTCCACGAATTTTGGCATAACGTATTGAATTAAGTCTAGAATGAGGTGTACACCTCCTATATATATTTTCGTTCGATTTTAAGTAAATTGTGCACTAAAGATCCACAGCTAGGCCGATTGACACAACGTACTAATATTAATAACAATTACTCTCTGGCAAGTTTGTTTCAAATCGGTTCAGATATAGATATATCGTAGCTTCCATATATAATTTCGATTTATTTATGTTAATTGTAAACCAAATAATCAATAGGTGTCTGATGGAGATTAAATTTTAAACAGTGCAGCATACCGAATAGCGTGTGTCAAGTTTGATTTAAATGGATTTACACAAATCTGTCCCACTGTGCGCAAACGACTCTAAACTTGCCCAAATGAAATGAAATTTAGGATAGATTCCATAAAGACATAAAAATCACATATTTAAGTTCGTTCAATTTTATGTCAAAATTCCTTCAAAAAGGCGGCGTCTTTTCGGATACAAATGTAGAATATACCCAAAGTGGTGAAGGGTATCACATAGTCGGCACAGTCCGACTTTACTACTTTCCTTACTGGTTTTTAAATGAAAAATATGGATCATTGTTGTTATACCCTACATCATATGATGTAGTGCGAAATATATTATTGCACAGACGGCAAAATTCTATGACGGCATGAATATTCATGTCCTGTAATATTAAGGAATGTTGCAATTGGCTCACATAACTGGTATCGGCTAACACCTGATGATTTACCATTCCGAGTCCAAAAATGGTCCCTGTCCGTAAGGAAAAATATTTTTCTCGCGGATTGGTTCCTCCGATCATGAATAACTTGAGACGAAATATATGAAATAAATACCCTTTCTAGCACCTTCTGTACCACCCTCGCCAAACTTCACTCAAAATTCTGCTATATCTGCACTCAAATTGATATAGCAGGCTATGCTACCCAGTTTATTATAACATTTTGTCGAAAAAAATTCATTCTAATACAAGTTTTATTTGTAGATGCCCACAACATTTGACCCCATATTCGGAAATTTATATCCAAATGTATGGCTTTGAAATTTTAGATATTTTGGCCTTCCTGTTACATTTACAAACTATTTGTTTCCAAATAAATAAAACCTTTTCAAATTATCGATCAGCATTTTTATATTATTGTACTTCCTCTTCGAAGAAAATAAATTTTAGTCTAGGTAAACAAATATGTACAATATTATTGTCCTTGGAATGTTTCCTACCTTTTACTTAAAGAAAGCATAGAAAAAAACAAAACAAAATAGACATGCAAGCATATTTGCTTGAATTTTCTCAAAAAAATATTGTGAATGATTTTTTTATTTCAATTTCATTGTCCTTGACTTTTAATTAATTACAAGAACTATATAATTTTCTTAATTCTAAGATTTTTACTAACTTAACAAAAAAAAAAAAAAAAAGAATTATTTATACATGATTTAATGTGTGTTCCTTTCCACTAATCTAATTGATATGAAATAATTTGCTATAAACAAACATTTTTTATATGCTTTGTCCCATTACCATTTTGGTTTTTTTATTTGTATAGAGATGAGTCCCGAGGAGAACAAATACCATAATTACAACAACTATAATGAAAACTTCATATTTTCTGGAGGTAAAACTTCTACATCATTCTATTATACATATACTAACTACTACAACTAATTAAAAAGTAAATACTAACATCATGGGGAACCCTAAGAATATAACTAGGTTTACACATATACTAACAATATGATGATATTATTTCATTCATTCATCCAATCATCCAGTCCTAGAAATTCATACTTTTCATCATGGCAAGCACTAACCAACACTAATCAATCAATCATTCTTTCATTCCAAGACTATCGTAACACGAATCTATCATCCTAATCTGTTCATCCATTTGACCTGTTTTATGTGACCATTTTTATTATTTGAAATATTTTAGAAAACTGTAACCGTTTGTGTGAGATTTAATTTTGAACATACATTTTCAATATACCCAAATTTAAAAAAAAAAAATAATATTTTTCCATATATTTAAGGAAATATATTGTGGCATTATACCACTTTTCCATTTCTTATTACTATATAGTTTAAAGAAACTTATCTTTACCTATGGTCAAGTTAAATCTCACACTTCATGTCCCTTTTAGCTTACTAAAGAAAATGAATATTCTCTCTTGTGTTTTCCTATCATTTATATTCACTTATTTATCTTTGCCTTTTATGGCAATATTTGTTTCTTTTTCGTTTTATTTTTTCCAGTAACTCAACAACACCGTTCCAATAGTCCACAACACTCCAGTTCGGCCTCATCGCCTGTTATGTCAAATAGTAGTTCTAGTCCAGCACCACCATCCAGCAGTCCATCACCGCAAGAGAGCCCCAAGAATTGTAGTTACATATATCGTGATTGATTGATCACTAATACCAAATCAATGCCACTAATCAAAACAACATCCAACAATACAACAACAACAACCACAACAGATGCAAATGCAGCAGCAACAGATGCGGTGGCAATCGAAGCAGGAACAAATGATGCCACTAATGCTGAAACTGCAATCACCACAGCTAAAACCATAGACGAGCAGAGATCTGCCGCAACAATGCCACTTTGTAAAACAACTACAACAACAAACAACACTGCCAAAAAAACAAACGAACAAACAGCTAAAACTACAACAAAAACAACAACTACAACTAATCATAATAAATTAGAAATGAAACGTAATAGACATAGACACCACAACAACAGCAGCCACAACAACACAAACAGTAATCGAAGACATAAAAGCTCGTTGGTTAAATCCGTTCCTGCCACACCTGTACAAGTAAATCCCACAACGAATCATTTTGTGCCATCCTCAACTGATTACAATGATGATGATGACGATGATGACCCAGAACCAGTCTACACTGATAGCTATCTGTATACACCACCCTATTCATATCCAATTTTTTCTTTAGACTATCAGCACAGCAACAGCAATAGTTCGCAATATCATATGGAGCGACATCAGCAGCAGCAGCAGCAACAACAACAACAATATTCCAGTGAATATCAAAATCATCACCAGCAACAACAACAACACCAACAGCAGCGGCATCACGAAGATGATGAGGAAGAAATATTTCGTGAAGCCTGTTCCGATCAACATCCTTTAGAATTGGCTCGAGATCTTGAAGATGACTCTTCCTCCTTGGCCATGATTACACCGCCTCCACCATATGATACACCCTACAAGAAACAACAGCAACAACAACAACACTCATCATCGTTACAGCATCATTCAAATAAGTCCAAACATCATTCTGGACCACATTACAGCAATTATAATTCCTCATCGTATGCCTCAGCCAAATCACGTTCCGATATGCCGCCTCAAGCTCGAAAATATCTATTCAACAATCGTGAAACATTTACCATTAGTTCCTCGAATGGCAATTCCAGTTCAAATTCCATACATCAACAGCCATTGCAATCCACCTCGCTGGCTGGTACGCTGACCAGTGCCATTACACCGACGAAATTAAGTGCAGCTGCTGCAGCTATGTTTGCGGCACCACAAATGGTGCATTTAAATCGTAAATGGTCGAATTTACATCGCAAAAGACGTCGGCGCAATAGCAGTTCGGGAGATTCAAAAGAACTGGATAAGTTGGTACTACAATCAGTGGATTGGGATGAAAATGATATTTATTGACAGCTTCAGAAAAGTATCACCACATTTCATTTATTATAATATATATCGTATCGTATATAGAGTCCGCACAAGCCATAACGAAGAAAAATCTGAAAACATGCACACACACACACGAAATAATTTCCATATCAAGACAACAGTATGCTGAGAATGGCGATGATGAAGAAAATTATGGAACAATTTATATATTTTAAACCACCACCACAAAAAGTACAAGTATTAGTATTTTAAAATTAATGATATTGATCAAACATTTATTGAAGAAAAATTAAGTGAAGTTTGAAAAGCACGGACATTAATGCAAAAAAACAGAATCCATGACATATATACATTTCATTTTAATGTACAATTTTAATATATTTAAATAAATTTCTTTGACATACAATTAAATAGAAATTATGTAAAAAAAAACATTATTTAATGTTATAAAATTGAGAAATTTTAAATTGATGATTTTTAAACATACTGACTCATTTTTCCAACATTTTTTAATACTTTTATTAAAATATAACAACTGCTTAGTATAAGCATATACATTTTCTTAATCAACATTCCAAATATTACAATTTCTGATTGTATAATTTACGTTCACTCTATATAAATAATTGCTTGAAACTGGAAATGTTAATAATACAAAGCAAATACTTCATATGATAATATACTTGACAATCTTAATATTAACTACGCGCATGTTAATTTTTATTTTCTCCATAATTGACATATATGATCGTATTTATTTCATATCTCAAAAGGAACATAAAACAGCACATTTGAAAATATTTTTTTATTTTAAACGCATACTTTATGAAATATTCTTTTATACCAAGATCAGATTATTATAAATTATTTAATGGATACTGTCAATATATTTAATTTTTTTTCGCTGAATAGTTTCTAACAAATTCTTAGATTTACTTATGTGCCATATTTAACCAGGTGTCAAGTGCTTTTCAAACTCACATTCATCATTATTTAAAAAAAATATATATAAATATCAAACAACATTTTTATACCAGGTCAATTTTAATAAACATTTTAACCGCAATCATTCATATTCGAATATTGTTTTGATATAGTAATCAAATTTAACGACTTTCAAAAAAAACCGAAATCTAAACAAAATATTTGAAACTAAGATTATTGAGATTTCCCATTTTCGAAATTTTTCTAAAGGATTTCCATACGAATTCTTGTATTTAATTCGTAACACAAATTTCAATAATTCGTTTCAAAATTTGAAGTGTTCCATTTGTCATTTAAGCAATTAATTTGTAATAACACTTGTCCAATTCCAATGAATTCCCAATCTCTTTTCTCCGTATGTAGCTTATCCTAGCTACCATTTTCAAAATATATTTCGCTTAAATACTTTAAATCATATTCTTATAATCACATATCTTCTATTCGAAAAATAGTATTTCATACTTGTGTTGTGCATAATTCCAGTTGTGTTAAAAAAATTAAACATACGTATTTACATAAATGTAACTGAAATACAAAACCGAACGCCTGTTGAAATACAGAACCAATAACCGAACGCCTGTTGAAATACAGAACCAACATGGTCTAACAGGAGTATAATTCATACCTAAGGTTATGTTGAAGAGAGGGGTAGTTTTCCTGTAAAAATACCCTTTGTATATACAGATTCGTCTCCCTAAACTTCTAGGATTTCTGTGTTCTCAGTTAAGTCCTTCAGTTTTTTCCATTCACACCCCCTTAGGGTTCAAAGACTTGGAGAATCTGAGCTGTCTTCCCCACACGCTCAACATTTGCTTTTCCCCCGCAACCAATCTTGTAAAAATGGACCTGCAGGCAAAGATGTCCTATGGAAATATCTGCAAGTCTGCTGATTTCCTTTTTCGTCAAACGTTAAGATTTCATCAGTCTTATATTCATTTGGGTCTCCCCATAACATTTTTGTGTTCCTTCCAATCCCCTCGCTATTCAAAGATTTTTGGTGGCTCTCTTTCGGGCATGGCCTCATTTCTAGACATGTTGCGCAAAACGTTTTGACATTGCTCACATGTATAGTGGGTAGGTCAGTAGTACTACTGGCTAGTTGATTGGCTATATCTTTGCCTATCATACCTTTGTGTGACTCGGTACCCATTTTTAGACAGTATTTCATTAAACTGTTTTGTAGGTTATTCCATTCAGAGCATATTTATTATCTTTCATGATATTTATTGTATTTTGTCCAGAATTCGAACTTGACCAGTTTAGACACTCCGTTATAGTTTGAACCTCCGCCTGATGGATCGCATAGTAATGTGGCAGGTGAGATGAAATTTCGATCTACGGTTTTTCAAAAAAAGTCCCACTCCGACCTTAATTGCTTTCCAGGAGCCATATGTGTAACAATATTTGATCTGCCTCAAAAATCCTGATTGAGGATCCGATTGCAGCCGGTAACATATTTTGGTGCAGTATTGGGCGGAGTGTCGATCCTAGCTTCAGTTGGACATATACAAATAAACCTGGGACAGAAAAAAAAGAAAATATGAATTTGTGTGTGAGCATATGAATTATTTTCGATGATGCGACCTCCAAGTATTTGGGTAATAGGTTCGTACAGAACTCGTCAAAGGACTATCCATGATCTGGATCAAAATTCGGCTTTCGGTATTTATTTATTTTTTTTAAATTCTCAATTTTATTAAAGACAAATATCAAAGCAATGAAAACATCCAAAATGTGGTTAAAAAATACGTATCTCATCATCGCCATAAAATATTTCATCTAAACCAATACAAAACACAACTGTTACCCCTGTTAAAATTCAATTTTACATTTTTTATGGCTGTTCCTTATGCATAATTACAACGTTGGGGATTTACAATTACATATATTTATACTTACCAAAATACAACAAAACTTTAATTATATTTTATACTAACAAACTAAAAAAACCTATATTACACCCACACAAAACAAACCAAAATAAATTTGACAGTAAAGAAATGTTAATCAGTGATTATTTATATCTTTTTAAATGAATATCAACTAATACATACAAATTAGTTTGGAAGCATGCATCACAAAATTAATACGCATTGATTTTTAATTTACGATACAAACCAACAACAAGAAACGAATACTTTATTACAAGAAAAAAAGAAACAAATATATAACAAACATTTAACAACAAAATGACAATGCATTTGTTTAATTTTATAAGAAATATTTATTTATTTGCTAAAACAAATTTTTTGATTATTATTAATTTTTTATTGCATTTTTGATTATGGAAATATAAACAGAAAATATATATATAAACAGTTAAAAACCAAACATTAACAAATTTAGATAAACTTATGCCAGAAATATACAAGAATGTTTCCCCCAAAACAAAAGGCAGCAAAACAGCAACAACAACAAATGATGCATACAAAAATAATTAAAGTATTCTACAAAAGCAAATGCAAAGAAAATACAAAATAGAACTCCAGTAAAGCTAAGATTCTTGCAAAAAAAAAAAAAAAAAAAAAAAAAAAAAAAAAAAAAAAAGCATTAAATAAAAATTCCCTTAGTATAACTGAATGAAATATTGAAGCTTAAGATTACAAAATAACAAAAAACAAACACAGATTTTGTAAAAATATAAACAATTTGCTAAGCAAAATTGAAGGAAATGTTATTAAAACAAGCAAACAAAATACCATTAAAATATTATTTATAAAAAAGCAAATACCAAATAATTTATTATAAAAACAAAAACCAACTTGTTAATGCTAAATTATATTAAAGAAAAAACCTAAAAACACAAAAAACTTTTGTAATTAAACTTGTACATTTTACACTTATATATAGCATATAAAGTAATGAGAAACAACTACAAATTTAAAAAAAATGAAAATATACATAGATATATAATACAAATCGCAACTCATTATAGAAAACTCATAAATTCTAAGGTAGAAGAAAATATATTTAAAAAAAAAATAAGAAAATGAAGAAGAAAAAAATACAAAACTTACATAGTAGCAGTAGTTTTAGCCGCGTTTTTTACAAATAAATTATTAATAAAAATAAAATAAAAAATAACACCCAAAACAAAACTTTACATTTATAAATTATAAAACGAAAAAAAAAATCGACAAAAATATAAAAGAACAAAAATTATAAAATCCAATCCATAAGAAATGGAAATACGCCACATTCACTCACATCCCTCAACATTACAATACTCCAATTTCAATATATATGAAAGAATAATAAAAAAAAACAACAAACTAACAAATCCAAAAACACTTCTTTTTGAAATTAGTAATGTTATTTAACCAAATAGAATTTTATATATACTTATATTAAATACCTATACATTTATATATACATATATGAAAGAAATATTACAAAAACAAAACAAAAAAACATAAATCCATTAAAGTTATTTATGAACCAACTATTGACTTAGATAACGTTACTTTTATAGAAAACTTTAGACTTAGAAGAGTTTTGAGAAATATGGGTAAATAACTCCAGTGATCCGAGGATGGCAACAAATTAATAGCCAAGATTGTTGAACAAATTTCTATTGAAAATATTTTGAGAAATTCTTTTAAATTCTCTCATGTCAGGGTGTATTACACCCGGATTACTACCGGTGTCCTGTATGCCATTAGTTTCTTCCACAATTTATAAAAAATAAAATGCTCATGAATTGTGTTAATCTTGGCCGTAACCTATAGCCCTTGCTGATAGCAGTTGTTACCTTAATTTCCAATCTCTTCTTAAATATTGCCTCTAAAATTAACTAATAGCAATTAAAATATATTTATAAAAAAAATAAAAATTTAAGTTTGTTGACTTTTTCTTTTATTTAAACTTATTTAAGTGCTTATTATAATTGAATCCATATGGGAAAAAGTATTGTGTTAATAACTTATTGCAATTGTATTTATTTTCAGTTTTTGTCGTTATTCTTTTTGTTTTACAAAATTACCATTAAATGCATTATCATCTTTATGAACTAAAAACAAAAACAATACAAATTTAAA